ATGGAACTTCATGGTGAAGGTGGTGGTGCTGGAAAGCCCTCTGGAGATGAGGCAGGGGCTAAAGTAGAGCGAGCTGATGGATATGAGCCACCCGTGCAAGAGTCCGTCTGAAGCTAAAAATGGCTCAAAAATAAAGTTTTAATATACAGAACTAGTGTTTGGTTGCCTGTATTGTTACTAGACAATTTTGATACCGGACATGGATGGGTCTTTAATGAGGTAAAATTATTACCTTGGTTGGGGGAGGTGGAATCTCTAATTGGTTTGGAGATGTTTTTTGTGATTGGTGTCACAGGATAGGTGGAACTATGTTGCTTGTTCTTTCTTGAAAGGTGCTGTTGGAAAGTACGATGCTCAGGCTTCTGCTTGTACTTTTTTCTAATTATTTTATTCCTCACAAAAAGAGAATCACTTTTATGGATGTGAGTAGAAGTTGTAGCTTCATTTATATTGGTGGTACAAGGTGCTTCAAAAAGCAGCATTGTACAGGGCTAACTGGTAATTAGGGTGCTGAAAAGGGAAATATATTATTCTTGTTTAAGAATTTTCCATTATAAGGGATTTTTAAGGCATCAGACTGTTCCCGAGCGTTGCATATGTTTAAGCTCTTGGGTAATTATTTGATGTGACCTCTTTAACAGCATAGATTTTGGTCTCTGGCATTCAAAGATGTTAATAGGTTTTAGAGTCATTCTCATTTATAGAAGCAGTATAAAGAGTTTTGAGCAATGTTAAATGTAGCATATGCTAGAGAGTGGGTTTGTGCACGTGGCTTTTTAAACCTCTACTTCAGTACTGAGAGGTAACCGTAAGTTGTTAAGCAAATCAGTAATGAGCACTGATGCATTGTCTGGGTTTAAGATGGCCCTTCTCATTTTTCCTTGCTGATTGGCATATGCAAGCTTAAAAAGTGGAGAGTCTGTTTTTCTGGCCAGAACAATGTGTGGCACTGTCAGTATGTTCTGTTCAAAATTAATATGGGATCAAACCTAAGCTTTGTGCTGCTAAACTTCTGGTAGTTTGGTGCTTTCAGAACGGAAAACAAAATGGTACTCACTGACCTGTTTTGGGAGGTCTTTTAGATAGTGATTGTGGTTCTTGCTGTTATCTGTGAAAACCCTTGGGATAAGAAATGAAGTAATGAAAAGTCAGTGTTGTAGAAAAGATACTGGGGAAAAAAGTAGATTGAGGGACGCTACAGATACAGGCTGTACTTTTAAAGAATTTTCACCTTTTCATAGTGATAGATGTAGATAATTCTATTTCGGAAAAAGTAACAATGCAAAATCAAAAGCATGTGCTCTAATCAGTTATTTAGAGAATTGTAGGTTACTTAGGGTAGTAATTCCAAATCATTATTTTAATAGCAATCCAAATTGCGTTTCAGCCAATGATGCCTTTGGTTTAAGGTATAAAAGGCTGTATTGACTCAGAGCGCCTTTCTCAGGCAAAGGTGGTCTCATGCTTGGCATGTTTTTAGTCAGGACTTCAGAACCAGGTACAGATACGATACTGGTAAACTCTTGTCACCGGCACTCAGCCGGTGCTGCGTTCCTGCGTTTTGCAGGGCTGTGGAAGAGCAAATGAGGGAGAAGGAGACCTCCAGGCCTGGGAAGTGACTCGGTGAGTGTGGCTGGCACCTGTGCAATAATGGGTGCATGGGACTGGGAAAGCTCACAGCAAAGGGGGCGGCTGCGATGTTATTTTTGTATTCAAAGAGATAATAATTGCTTCCACAACCCTTACATTTCATTGTAAAAAAATTGCTTAAACAGGTTGTAAATAGGTTGTTCAATAGGGATTATATTCAGGATCTCACATACTAAACGTAAATAGTTACTGTAGATGGCCTTTCAGATAGTTGTATCTCCACAGTTTCATTCCAGAACTACTCAACTGTGGCAAATCCCATTCATTCTGTTCTGTGTAAATTTTTTTTGCATCGAATTTTGTGTTTCTGTCATTGGTGAGTGAGTTTGATACTCCAGTGAGTGTGAATACAAGCTTGTAAGAAGAATTGAATCTTCTAATTGCCATCTTCTCTCTTGGTATAAAAGTGGCCAAACATAGCATCTGGGATGTTTTATTTTGAGGTAAGTTTATAGTCAATAAAACTGTTTTAAACAAGGCAGGATTATTTTTAAAATGGTAAATCACCTTATGGTAGGATTGTGAAACTTAGTGAACTGATTTGTTGATTTAAAATAATCTTGCAAGTCTGCTCTCAGATCTGAATATAAATGCCAAAATTGGCAAGATGCTAAGTTCCCGTATTATAGACTTGTCAGGGATTAAGTGCTCTAAATGCTGTTGCTGGTGAACTCCCAGTACAGAATTTGGTAGGCAGTGAACACATCCACTTTGAGTGGATCTTGGATTTTCCTCACAACAGAGTTTACTCCACAGGTGTGTGGAGTAAACACAGGTGTCCACTTAAAGCCAACAAATATGTAAAGGAAACAAAATATTTTTAGTTTTTGCTGAAAAATAAGAAAGGAAGTTCAGATTGGTTTTCTTGGACTTGATCTTAAAGGGATACACTGGTAGAATCTTGTGTGTGTGTTTTTTTTTTTTTTTTTTTAAAAACAGAATAACAGGTGTAGAACTTCTTGTAAGATCTTGAAAGCAATATGATGTTTACTTTGGCCTCCACTTTTTTGTTCCTATTCTTCTGTGTATAGAAATGTCTTTGTTATGTAGCTAAGTTTCTAAATAAGTTCATGGGTTAAGGAAAATTTCCACTTGTGGATTTTTAGTGGGGATCCTAACTATTTCAGGTCTGAGCATTGTCACTAATATTTCTGGCTAAATTATTTTACTTACAGTATCTGCAAAATCTATATACTAAGCGGAATATACAAAATCTTACTAACAAGAATGACACTTCATATGGTCCTTGACTTGATACTCAGGTAATTGTTTATTGGATTGTAAACACAGGCCTACTTGTTCTGCTCTTTTCAGTTTATGTACTTGAAGGATTACAAAAGAAATTTTTTTATGTCGTTGAAGCAGGAGAAAAAGAGTGCTGCTTTTAATCTTCTGCTTTGCCAGTTTGTTTTCATCTGTACTGCTGAAGCTGTGTTTTTAAGTAGTGCTTGCAATTCTGAAGTTTGGTGCAGTGCATTTGTTAATACTTCAAAAGGAAGGCACTGTTTTCCTCTCAAGAGTTCCTATATGGTGATATTTTTAAGCTGACTCTTAACAAATTCCCTTTCACTTCTGTAGCAAAAATAAGACTTTTTCACTGAAGTAAAAAACAAACCATGACTTAGAGTCTAAGTGTGGTGAGGCTGAAAATCCTTGAACCTAATGAAGTAAGGTTTAATGTAGATAATGTGTGTGGATGCATGTATATATTCATATATATAGCATGAGAGTAAGATCTGTTTTGGAGTCTTCTAGTAATGGAAGTGTGCTGTATTTATCTTTTCTGCTTAGTAGTAACTCCATCACAGAAATTCTGAAGGACTGCACCTGGCCTGTAGTCTTTCAAAATTAGGAGGGTTAGAAATCCTAGAGAGGCTATGCCATTTCTGAGCTCATTTCCCAGACCTTTTATCTTTTATGCTGTTAATTTTCCTTCAGCTGCTGGTCTGAGGAGTGTATCTTGCAGAAAGGCTAGTGCAAGAACCTTTTGGAAAATAAAGAGAACTTTCTGACTTCAGAAATTGTTCTGCTGTTCTGTGCTGTGGGTGTTCTTTCTTAAACAGTAGGCTATTTGCTGGCATTACCATATAGGGGCTTTGGGTAAAATGGCTTTTGGGTAATGGGCTTTATGAAATTATTGCAAATGGAGAAAAGTAAGCAGAAGGAAAATTTTGTGCATTTTCTGTATTTTTAGTACAAACAAACCAGATGAAAAATCATGGTTTGTGAATGGCAGCAATTGGCAGAGCACGTTTAAGGTATGCTTAGAATTGCTAATCGCTTCTGCTTGTTACCACGCAGGTTCCGCCTATGGCTTCGTCACAATTAATCCTGTCATAGTGCGAGTGGAGCATTAACTTCCTGTGTGATGCGAGCTGGTTGCAGGTAGTGAATGTTTTGGATTCTGCAGGTGGTAAGTGCAATGTACCCAAGTCTGAAGTCTTGATTAAACTGTATTAAAGCCATCAGGAGCCTCTGGGGGGTTCTGGACTACTCGTGAAGGGATGCAATATTGTAATATCTTAATTTTTTAGCTGCTTGGTTAAACATCTAAGTAGAATAAAACCATGCCAAGTAGAGAGCTCAGCTCTCCACAATATATGGCAATAAAAATACAATCACGACTTAATTATATTAAAAAAAAAATTTACTGGTTAAATACATTTTTAATTTACAGTGGTACCATAACAAACTTAATGGACTTGCAAAGATTTACTTAAGACACTTAATTGTACACAAAACACAGTCTTCCTACTAAAGTTATTTCCAGAGGATGGGTCAAACAATAGAAGCCTTGAGCATATCAAAACCATTCTCTATCATAGTAATGTATTGGGCCCTAGCTGAATTTCAAGGTTGCATATGAGATTTGCTACTATGTTGCAATTATGATTTGTGACCTCATTCCTACTTTTCTACAAATTACATACTGTATACTTTCTGTAAAAGCCAAGCAGTTAACTTCCTTCAACTTTAACAAAAATAAGTTGATTTTAGCTGACTGCAGTAATGCAAACGGCCTTCAGATGGCACTCCTTGCTCTGAATGTCAAGCTTTGCTGCTCTTCCAGCCCTACATAATAAGGAGAGGATTAAAGTAAAGCAGAGTGGGCTTATCTACTGACAGGCACCGACTTTAAACAGCTAATGTAAGTTACAAAAACAACTGATCAATATACAATTATAAAAATAGGGGGAGAGGAAATTGAAAAAAATATAAAAATTTAATTCTACTTTAAGACTTGTATCAAAATTTTAGAAAACTGCCAGACAAAAAAAATAAGTAAACATCATACACTGAACCCTCATCTACCTCCACAATGATTCGGTATGTCTTTGAAGGACTTGGTATTCCGTTTTTGATGGTGTTTTTTTTTTTTGGTTCTCCTCCTCTTGTGCTTACAAGAGGTTCATGAAGTGCCTTAGCAGAGGTCACGGTGAATGTTTCAATGTGGTGATCCACTGAAAGTTTGTGGTTGAAAAGACTGAGAAGGCTTACAGCAGCCAGAAATCCCCCTCTCTCTCTGCTTCCTCACAGTCCTATAGAAAGAAATGGATATCATCTCTGAATAGACAGTAAGAATCTTTGGCCTTTCCTGGCAGGAAAGCTTGGGGAATAGGAAGGGTTGTCCTCGGACGCCGATTTACGTTGTTAAAAATTTGATTCCACAGGAGCTCAGGACAGCCTCATCGGTATGGTAAAACTGAGTAACAGCTGTATAACTGGTCTTGTTTTTATCTTTCTGGAATAGCACAGGGTTTAGAATTCTGTTTTTCTAATGTTAATCCCCTTTAAGAGTAAAAATCCAATTCTTAGCTCGCTAAAGCTTTGTGCTTTGTGTGATTTTCACCCCCCCCGTTAGGGTAACAAGTACTGATGCAGTATAAACGTGTAACACTTTTCCATGAAGCTTCTAGAGAAGCTGCAAAGGTAAACTTGAGCACTAATGACTGTGTTTGCATTTGCGAGTACTGTTACAACAGTGACCCTTTAGTGCAAACTGGTACTGAGGGTGTCCACGCTGTGAGCTCCTTGGGAGTGACAGCAGGCAAGGTCCGGTCTGCGCCTGACACCCCCCTGCTCTGGGAGACTTTTCAGCTGAATTTTGGCTGAAAGCTTGTGCCTGCTGCTGCAGGAAACACAGTGCACTGGGTGGAGAGGGCTATCCTCAAGGGCTCCCTCTCTCACCCACAGTTAAACACCAATATAGATGCACCCCAGCCTACGGTAGCTGTATGTATTTGTTGCCATACCTGGATCGCCCATCAGTAAAGCTTTAAGCAGATACCTGACTAAATCAAACTATCCCAAGGTCAATTACGATGATTCTAGTTTCTGCTATCTCCCGTTGCCACTCAACTACCGGCCCTTTTGGCAGCCTGAACTTTCCAGGCCTGCAAAAAAAGTGTTTCTTTCTTGTGAAAGAGCTCACCTGCATCACTGAGGTAAGGACTTGTGCTAACAACTTGCTGTTTCCTTTTTTTTGTATGGTACAAAAGCAATGGAATACTGTAAACACTGAAAGAGCCAACTGCAGCATAATTTTTTTTTTTTTTGTATATTCCTGTCTGATAAGTTAGCTATTAATCAAGACACATTCAAACTAGTTTGTTTGGAGCCAAGTGTCATAAAAAGAAGTTTACTTCTCAAAGTTCCTATAATCTGAAGCTATCTCAGTCATGTTTGTTTTAATTTATGTAGCTCAAGTTGCACTATTGACTTTTACTAAATTGTTTTGTTAGAGCTTCTTGAAGTAACTTCTCCTCAGCTGTTTTTTTTTTTTCCTTAAAGCCTTGACAGACCATTTATAATGATGTTCAGTATAGCAGGTATGTGGTACCATACCAAACTGAAAACTAATCCCTGGGGCTGCTGAAAGCTAAAACTGAGGCTGTTTAATATCCTTCCTGTTAAGGACAGGAATAGTATTGCTGAAGTATGTTCCAGTGCTTGAGTGAGAAATGAAACGCAGACTGAGTGAAGACTGGCTCCTGTAGGTACAGGAGGAGGGAGGGGACAAATAGCTGAAATAGCGTAACTGCTGCAGAGAGGGGATCTGAGGAAGTTTGTGATGGACACTGCTTCTTCAGCTAACCTCAGCTGTGAGAAGAAAGGTATGACAGTGCTTGAAGAACAGTAGATTGTAGAAAAAACAACCTACATCCGCAAAAGATTGCGTGGGAAGGGAAAAAAGGTTTGAGAGAGGACTCACACTGGTTTGAACGCTATCAGGAGGCAAAACACTTAGACTGAATTGTTCATAGAGGGGGATCAGAAAAGTAAAATTTAAGAACAGAAGAATACTACACACAAGGATTGACTTCTGAGTTTTTCCTCTATCCTTATTAGATTTGATAATTTTCTACTGAGATAAGTTATCTTCCTTATCCTCTAAGCCATAAAACAAGTGGATTCTACTGCTAATGTGGAAGTCAAGCAGTAATAAAACCTGAATATTGAACTTGATCTACATACTGAATGCTGTAATTATATCTTTAAAACTATTTTTTAAATTTAGATTTAAGAAACAGTTTTTAAGGAAGCCCAAAGCAGCTTACTTTATGCAGACTTTTTATACATGATAAATGTAATACCAGATAGTAAACTTAGTAGAATGTTAAGAACAAGTTAAGAATTTAAGTTAAAATAGTCCTTTACCACAGTACTTCCCAAGTTGGAATCTGCTAAAAATCCTGCTTTTGTTTGCTCTCAGAGCATTCATGAAGCATGACTAAATACACCGTCACAAAAGACTAAAATTTTCTTATTTGACTTCAAGATACTGATATGACTGCCTAGAAAAAAGTAGTGCAAAACATTCTGATAGTCACAATATAGCGAAGTCCTTGTTTGCTGTGCCTTTGCAACAAAGTCTCTCCCACATGCAGGGAGCATGAAGGCAGGCAACACTTTATGATGTTTTTAAAATCTGAACAAAGTTTTTGGGAAATATCCCAGATTTTCCTTGCAGCTCTCCACTCATCCAGTCCTCATCTACCGATTCCAGCTCTGTTATCGTATCACCTGCCTGCAAGAGAATGAGTAACATGAGCCAGTACAGTTTACTGTATAATGTTGATGCATGCAAAGTTGATGTTATTCAGAACCAGTTTGTATCAATCAAGCAGAAGACGAGCAGGATATGGTCAGTCTCTCTTCTCCTGGTAGTTAGACCTCTTTCAGACTGTATTTGCCAGAAAACGGTTGCAATTTCTCTTAGGGTAAGCAAATACCTGTCATTTGTTGAAAAATCACCATTTTATGGAAAGGAAAAAATAGTTCTGCTGCACAAATACTTGTGTTGCTTAAAGTTTTAAGGTAGGCAAGTTAGCTGGCCTACAGGCTGCAGCCTTATACACCATTTGTGCATATTCCTGCTTTATTAGAGGGTTTCTTCAAATGCTTCAAAGCTTTTCTCTAAATTTAGTCCCATTACTTCCAGGGCTTGGAAACTTTCCTCTCAGCAGAAGTTCCCCAAAAAGGCATGCAGCAGTCTAAGTAGTTTAGTCGGGTCTTTCAAATAAACTCCCAGCTCTTGTTTGCTCTTTGTTCCTGTTTTCATCTTCCCATGCCCCACCCTTCATCTGAAGCACTACCATAGCCTTTGCCTTTCTTCCCGTACCTCAGTCCCCCTTTTCCCTCTTTAAAGAATCACTGATCCTTTCAGCATGGCAAGCTCTAATGCAGAAACTAATTATTTTGTCAGCCTTAGAAAAAGAGTATGTTCTTGCTAATAAATGCTATTTTGGACCTGCTATGAAAGTCTGCTGCTTCTCAGAAACTTGTTTTTGAAGCATTTTGTTAGCCAAGTCATGACTTTGAATCTAAAATGGCATGCTGTTTCTTGTTCATGTCTCTTAACGTTATCTAACCATCCAGCAAGAATTGCCTTTCTCCCCTTGCCCCCATGGCAACCAGGTATTGTGCTGCCAAACCCTTTTGGAGTCCCAGAGTATTCCTACAGTAGGTGTCCCTTAGAGCCATCACTGCTGTAACACTGGCACGCTTGCTATTATTCCATCTTCTCACTGCTGTCTTTCTAATTAAACAAGAGGATCCTTTGACTGTATCAACTAATCAAGAACAGAATACAGCTGTTCTGCAAAATAAGGATGGCTTGGTTTTGTCAAGTTTGCTGGAATAGGTACGTCACAGGAAGCCTCCAACTCCTGACCTTTCTTCAGTGTCTTCTCCTGTTCCACACTGGTGGAATCTTTGCTGAAGCTTTGGTAAGGCCAAAAACTTTGAGATGCTGTTTATTAAACAACGCATTAGTATTTATTCCTCCTCTTTGAGCTTTGTTCATTCCATTTTTAGTATAGATAAATCCTTTTAAAGCTTTCTTTATGACCATAAGCTTTTTAAAAAAACTGGTTAAGAGTTACTTACTTTGAATGAAAGCTCATCTTCATTTTCTCCATGAAAATCATAAAGAGCTTTGGCTTTTCCTTTTTTCCCTCTTCGAGATTGTGACAGCTCTATCCTGGCTGCAGAACATGGATAACACATAAGTTATTTGGATTGGAGTGAAACATATCTCTGTTTTTGCAAAAGTTTCCTGTCCTTGTTGTCTCTCCCCTACACAGTGTTACAGGATGCCCACTGCTGCTATTTAGCAAATTCAGTGTCCTGCTGGGGGGGGAAAAAAAAAAAAAAACCACACACACACACACCCCCCTGTCTCTGCTGATGCCTGTTCATTTTACAGTACTAACTCATTCTTATGTCCTGCTTATAAAGGAGCTACATTTAAAGTGTACTTTCTTACACTTTCCAATGGCAGTATCTAATGAAAGCTGTATTTTCCTCTTTCTACTTGGGGATGAAGTGGCTTTGTACAGCTGCACTTAGCGTGTGCTATTTGCCAATCTGGTGGTCTTTATTCCCTTTTTACTTTCACTCATGGCTTTACTTCCAAAGCATGTTAAACAAACGTGATTGTTTGTTTTGTGTCCTCTGTGAAGGTTTTGACCGCATTGATTCTAGGGATAAATAGAAGCTTTGGAAGAGCAAGCAGTTTATCTCTTGTTTCACCAACAGAATTTCAGTAGTTTTGTGACATGGCTGAGCAGTTGCAGCAGAGTTTCTCAAGAGCTGCATGAGTGAAAGAAAGGAATCAAACTGTGGACAACTGTCCTGGAATCGGACTGTGGACAATGGTCCTGTTTAGCCTGTGCCCAAACTGAACTATTTAACCATTTCAGACTCTATATCACACTCCCCAGATTACTTGATGTCTAAAGCACTATATTGCCATTATGTGTGATAATGGTTCAGGACCTGGTTTAGCTTTAGGACATTATATCAGAGATGTCATGTGGCTTGTAATGCAATGGAATAGTTGGGTTGTCCCAGTACTCAGTATCTTACTGTCACAACCTAAGAAATAATGATTTGCCTTCTAGCAGGAGCACTGTACCTGAGCAGGTCTGAACAAAAACTGCTGGGAAAATCCCTTCCTTTTCATTCAGTCTTCCTCTGTACCACTCTGAATCTACTTGTTCCAGGATTTGGATGCAGTCTCCCTTTTTAAAGGATAAATCGTCTTTGGTTTCTGCTGTAAAATCATGAAGTGCTTCACACCACTCTACTGAATGTCTGTTGTTCTAGTCAAGTGAACAGAAGAAACAATTTAATTTTTTAAGTGTTAATGGAGACCATAAGCTCATTGATTCTAGTGAAAGCAGAGGTAGAGACTCGGGTATCCTGACTTTTTCCCCCCCTCACACAACACTGTCATTGCACATGTAGACTAGAACAGCGTTTCAGCAGTTATCACAGTGCCTATGCTCAGAAGCATTCCTTTTTATCGTCAGTGGCAGGACACAGGATAAGAAATTCAAAATTAAACCACTGCAGCAATACTTAAAATAGAGCTAAGAGGAACTTGCTTAGGCACAAAGGATAAAACAAAATTAATTCGCAAGCAGTTACAAACTTATCAATTTAGACCAACTGTCAGATTTCCAGATGTAACCATGAAACATTTGCGCACTGTGGGAGTTGTATTAAATTCACAGTTCAAAGCTGTACAGCAAATCTGACATTATAATTGAAAGTCTGTGTAAACCTATGAAAGATCTATATAAATTCTGGCCCCAGCCTATAAAATTCTATTACCTGAGGAAGGGAAGAGGAAACCTCCACCTTGTTCTTCAGTGATGCTCCTATACCTAGGTAGCAAAGGACAGCTTAGAATAGCAGCAATGACTATTCAAAATGTTACTAATGATGATGGAAGTTTTAAATATTTGAAGTGATTATTAAGAACGAATTTTAAGTCCTACTATTTCTTTTAATTTTTCTTATCCGTCTTCTCTCCCCTTTCCAACTCCTTCATCACCTGTGCGTTGTCCTTTTGGACTTTTATCTTAGATCCTTTTATACTACCTGTACGCATGCAGTACCAAACCATGTTTTTTGAGGAACATTTTTTTTTTGCAGGGTTGCTAACATATTCATACCTGTTTCAGGCAGATCTTCAATTACTTCCACAAAATTCAAGGGGAAAATTCCAGATGTGCCTCTGAGCTCTCCTTTGGCCCATTCTTCATTTACATATTCTTTAAGGATAATAGTTTCACCTTCTGAAAAACTGAGCTCATCTTTCTGGTCTCCAATATACTCAAATCGTGCAACACATCTTGGGCCTCTGTACAAACAAGAAAAACTTTATATAATTGCTGTTGTCCACTTAGTACTAAGAAGGCAGTATTATGCAAAAAATGACTGATTTTTTTTTCATTAAAATGAGGAAAGAATGCACTGGAGATAGAACAGGTGGAAAACTGGCATCTAATTCTGGTTATCTCTGGTCTCTAAGAGAGGATGAATATGGTTTCTGAAGGGGCTGGACCAACACGTGCTTTTTGCATCCAATTCCTGGTTGCTGCAGTAGTTTTGCATAACCACTTATTTCGCCTCCAAAGGTAGCAAGAAAAGCTCCTAGATTCTGGGATACCTGTCCAATTTTACATTTCTGCCCATATCCAAGTAAGTTAAGTTTTTTTGAGCTACCATCCAATTCAGACACAGTCAAACGCAGAGTGGGGGGAGAAAAGGCTTCTATTTGTCCCAAGTTCCGAATACACGGAGGTTTCATAGAGGGGAAGGTAGTTTTTATCTACTTTGACAAACTTTATTCTGTACAATCCATGCCAGGGGTGAGGAAGTACACTGTCTACCTAGGAGAGAAGCATTCATACATCTGTTAAGTTTAAAGAATTTGATATGATACTGAAAAGTGAATCAATCTTTTTTTTTTCCCCCCTCACTTAAATAGCAAGAAAAAATGTGTTCCATTAAAATTTGTGGACTATCGTAAATGCCATGCCAAAAAAGTAGAACTACTAGAAATAGACTTGACTTCTTTCTACAGCAACATTTAATCCAATGTAGAAACTTGATTTTCCCCGCCCCTAGTCATTCCTTCCTAAAAGGTTCAGGGCAGCTGTATTGCTTTGTTTTTATTTGTTAGTTGCAGGAGCAGCTTTTAAAAATAAAATTTCAGTTAAGACAAGTCAAAGTGTCAGAAGACCAACAGAACCTTTCCATTGAGGCTAGTCCCCATCTCAAGTTGTGCAAGGTAGTTTGGTTTTTCCAAAGTGAGGACTCGCACTGCAGGTCGTTTCTGCCCGAAGATGATTCTGCTTTAATCACTGCTTAAACTTCACTTGGTTGTGAAATCCAGCAACCTGTTACTGGGTAGAAATACTACAGAAAGTTGTTCCTTGTCCACAACTCTTACTGCAAGTCGTATGTACAACCCAGAAATGAAGGTGCTTAACTCTGCAACTAAAGTGGTTGATACATAGCCCAGTACATTTAAAAATATGATCTAAGGGAATCTTAGATTCACCTGTATAATTATAACACTTTAATGTTAGATAGGGCTCTCTACTTAAAGTATAGCTATACTATGGTCCATGTCTTGTTTGTCAAACAAGCAGAAGCCCTGGAATGTACCCTCTTATTTGGGATGTGGGAGGAAAGTAACAAGGCCAAAATTAGGAGCAAAGAGGAGAGTGCAATGCTGTTGGAGTTAAATCAAATGGCTTCAACTTTTCTCTAAATAATTTTCAAAACAAATTATGGGAGATGCTCTTCTAATAGAGCTAAAGAGGAAGGAAAGGGAGTGAAAGGAGCTACATCTCTATAAACATACTTATTTTAAAGATAAAAGTGATTGCTAATTTTTTTGAACCCATTAAGTGAGTTTTTGGTCTTTATCTTTTAAGTAAATGTAAGAGTCTTACTTAAACTTTTAAAAATTAAGCTAAAATATATTTTGGTGAGGTAGCTGTTAACCATATTAAGTTCAGTGCAGACAACGCCAGCTTCCAATTTGTCTTTCTTTTTACTCCCTAGTAAATCAAGATGAAAAAAGTAAGACTTATCTGACTCACCTAATACAATGTGATGAACAGAGTATTTTTTTCCTGGTGCTTTCTTCTGGAACATCAATCTAATAAGACAAAATACATAAACGTAACTATAGTAAACTCTGACATTGTTAAAATCATCTACTTTCAATTAAGCATCAGTGCTAGTTGTGACAGCCACGTGATGCTACATAATCACTCACATGCTCTGGTATATGACCGTATTTATGAGCTTTTTGTTTTTGTATGGCTGATTTCTCATTTTTTTCAACCTCATGCAAACAAGGAGTACTATTTAACGTTTCTATTGCTAGCATGTTTTAATATTTCTACTTTGCATGGTTGATTGACAGAAAATGGGAATGGCTGCTACTACATAGCACCAAACTTTCAACTGATAATTGCTGTCTTATCTCTTAGCACAAAAATCTCACAACAGAAAAAATTATTGTTTAGATGTTTGGGGTTTGGTAGTCCAGCGTTTGCCATCTGTACTCAAAACGAAAACATCTCACTTACTTCAGTATGGACGCAGCGGCTGCATACAAAGAAAGTTTAGTTTGGAAAAAACCAAAGTTATTGTTTTCATCTCAAATGCAGCTAGGCACTATGTGCTAATTATAGGAACTGGAGAAATTTAATTAAAATAAAATCACTATGTACATATCACACAGCCAGTCCTTTATTGTAAGAGGACTGCAATTGTATTTTTCTTATGATGTGAAGGAAGGCCTATGAGATCTAGTATAAGACTACAACCCTACAAACCCAAGCTAGGAGTCTTCGGTCACTGCTAGCTAGCGCCCATAAAAACAAGAATCTTGCACTAGCTTTTGGGGAGGACTGGATGAAGTCATGCTGCCTTATAGGAAAAATAATCTTTGCAACGCTCTGGCCACACAAGCTAGTATTTGTGGTGCTCTGAAAGTTTTACCAGAAATAGTAATTATGGTTATTGGATTTTCAGACGTCAACCTTCTATCCAGCTCTATTAATACTGTAAAACACTACCTTGTATTGTATAAAGACCTTGTATTGGGATCAAATTTCTGACATGAATGAGCAGGAATTAGAATTCACTCAGTAAACTAGTCTATGTACTTTCCCTAATAGCTTTTTAAAATTTGGTGAAACAAAAGACTTTGTACTCAAACGGCAATTATCTTTTACAGCTAAAACATAAGTTTGAAAGGCATCTTCCCTTGCTTTTACAAAACTGTATGTTTGTATCAATGCTGAATTTGAGGACAAATATTCATTCCATTGCTTTAACATAGTCTTTTTTTAACTAGTCATCAGTAACAAGAACTTGTAAATTAAGTTGGTTGTGTAGAAGAGGCTAATTGAGTTAGCTAACAAGTCTTTCTTGTGAAAGCAAGTAGAGCATTGTTGCAGCATTTCTAACCACTAGGCTATTTGTTTATTCAGTAAGTTTTTGACTGCTAAAATTCCTCTACAATGACACCATTACAAACTAAACAGACAGCCTATGTAACACGCTGCAATGATTACCAAATATTTAGTATTTTCTATGCAGCAGCAGTTCTCATCTCTTTCTGCCAGCTGCCCCAGCTGAACACAAACTTTTGTTGTCTTTAATGCCCAGCATAGCTACCTGCCGTCACTGCATCCTGGCATCAGTTTAGCACTCCTCTGTGCCCATCGGGCTGGTGAGCGCAGCCTAACGGCCCTTTGTACTGCTGCAGACGGGACTTTAATCTTAAGAGGCAGGCAACAGATTTGACCCAGATTCTTGAGGCACTGAACCATCCTGCATCTCTGTCCAAGATGAGCTGCCCAATCCATCTCAACTGGGCTCCAAAACAGCACCTGTCTCTTGCCTGCAGTTTACAGCAAAGCGTCCCACTCGGGAACAGGCTTACTTAGGCTGCTTGGCTGCAATAACGGTCTCCTTGTGCTGTGCCAATGCACCCGTTTATGCGGCCGCTCTGTATGCCACTTAAGGGAAGCAATGCAGGTGAAAAATAATTTTGGAAAGCAAAAAATGGTTTGTTGGGGTAAATTGCTACCCTGAGCCCATATGCTACATGGCTGGAAAAGTGGTGATCCTGGCACAGTTCAAGGGGACAAGAGTGAGAGAAAAGCCTGGAGAGGGGGGCAAAAAGCAATCGTCTTGCTGAGTTTTGATTCTTAAATGCAGCTGTGAAAAACAGGCTGCTCTATAGTCCCAGAGAAACTACCCAAGTTAACAAAGGGAATCTTGTCAGGGCTATGGCTTTCCCGTTTGGCTTGAAATTAACAGGAAAATAACACCCAGACCACAAGTTTGTGCTGCCAAATCAAGCATTTTTCTAATACCACACAAACAAGTTGATACGTCTTCTGTGCTGCCAGAGAGGAAAAGAGATTATTGAAATAGCAAATGGAATAAAACACACAGGAGCTACAGCAAATTGGAACCAGAAAACAAATACAATAGGATTTTATATAGCAACGTATACATAGCCTACATACAACTACTTTAACAAAGGTGGCAGGAAACATCCCTGTGCGATTCCCACATTTTCCTCTGTACCACTCAGCATCGATTTTCTCCAGAAGAGAAACGGTGTCTCCAGAATGAAGGGCCAGGTCATCAGCGTGCTCTGTAATACAGCAACACTTCAGTTAAAGCAGCTGTCAGGGGCACTGATTTTTTTTCTAGGTAAAGTCTTCTTAATAATAAATTCCCTAGCAAAAGCAGACTGAGTTTTAAAAAGCCTTATTACACATTGCTAAACAAGTGAGTTTAACTAGAAGACTGGCCCAACTATAGCTAAACCCATGGATTTGAACAACTTCACATGCAGAACTTCCAGGCTGAGTTTCCTGGTCATTTTTAAGTTCTAATTCCTAAGAAAATTCTCATGTTGAAAGCTGTGCTTCAAGTAAAACAAGCTTCCAGAATATTCACTTGTACTTACCCGCACGAAAATCATGCAAAACTACAGCATGAGGCGCATTTGCGTCAGAAACCTTTGGAGGATTGTTTGAATCCTGGCAACGATAAATAATTCAAGTAGTTTATAAATCATAAAAGATACTAATATAGATTCTCTGTTATTTATTCTGAAAGTCATTTTCTGATTTTGGACACAATATTGCAACAATACCATACCTTTGGAGGTGACAATTAGTATTAGTCACAGACCTATGGTTCTGATCCTGTATGTCTTTTACCAGCGTAAACCAGAAGGGATTTCACCGAAATATATTTTTCATCCAACAAAAGGGAGGGAGGGAGTGATCACTGCAACTTTTCCTAGTGTAGACAAAGCTTCAGTTATCAGGGGCAACGTTAGCAACCCTCAATGCAAGGGTTATGGCCAATTTTGTGTGCTGCTGCTTGCTACTGTGTGTCACCAAATATTTTTTTTACTTCCTTGTTTTGGGAGAGCGTCTCAACCCAACTATCCCCAGCACATGTTGCAGAGGCAACAGATCTGTCATCTGCCAAATATTTTTGGAGGGGAGGGCAAACCACTAGGCCTTTCCTTACAGGAACATAGCGCTGAGGAGAAATGAAAAGTTTGTTGTGGGATCTTTATAAAGGGAAATTATATTAGGGATGCTGAATCTTTATCTCACCCACTAGGATTTTTTTTAGACTGTACTGACAATCACTGTGAATAATCACTGTGAATTACTTTGTTTGAATGTAATTCATTGCATGCAAAAAAAAAAAACCCACCAACATTGACAAAGAAAAGAACAGAATAATAGCAATTATAACAGATTCCACATAAATCTATTCCTACCATGTAGGTTTCTGATAAAAATCAAAAAGGCTGTTACTTGTTGTAATACAGTCATGCTCTTAAACAGGTTAAGTTCTATATAAGCAAAGAGAGAGGAAAATACTTTGAAATCCGTACGTCAAAGCCAATTCACTGATGTGGCATGTACAGCACGTTACAAAACTAAAAGCTTACCTTTTGCCCACTTTTCAGATGCTCAGCAAGGGAAGTGAGAACCTTCATGAGACAGAGGAACTTCATCAGTTTCCTCTGCATTCTGGCACTCCAAGTAATTACTGTCGCTCTGCTCCATAAGCAGACTGTCCCCATGCTTTAAGGCACATCACCGTGTGTGTGTGTGTGTGTGTGTGTGGCTGTTCTGTTTTTATTAAAGATTTGATAAACCACTACTACATTTTTCAGTGTAACCTTTTAAAGGTTATGTTAAAGCAGTCAATCTTTTAATATAATAGGAATCTTAATGATTAAATATGTACCAGTAGAGAAAAATGCCTTACCTTACAGGACAGTTCTCCATGGTTCCTGGGAAGAAAGTTTTCCTTGGCAACCGCATGAGGCACAGCTAGCTTGAATAGACATTGAGGGGGAATGGAAAAGTTTGTTTCATTTCTAAGCACCTGAAATTTCTACTGCATGTGAAAACACTCAAGATGATGACACTATTCAGACCATCTACTACTATAGGTGACTAATTTAGGAGTCTGGTGGAAGAAGAGAGTTTCCTTTGGAAAGCATTCAGAACAAGTCTGCAAGCGATATGAACTCCCCTCAGGAGAAACCCAAGTGCTATCATCAGCTTTAAAGGTATCTTAGCCACCTAACTTACACCATGCCACATGGTACATGATATTCAGCCACACACTGTAATACAGGAACATGTTCTTCTGTCACGGAGGGCACTTTCATAGACGCTAACATGTGAGGGCAGGGAATTACTTCTGAACTGCTACAGGAAAAAAAAAATCTCACCTACAAAATATGTCAAATATTTCTTATATAAACAGGAGCGAGTACACCAGAGAGGAATCAACATGCGTCCCTTAGCTCTGAACTGTTCCTGCTCACATTAAGATTCAGCTTTCTCTCTCATACTGCTCTTTTCCACCAAGCATCTAAAGGCAGAAGTGCAGATCAAAGAGAAGGCAACAGAGAGCTTCCGCTTGGGGCTGAACGCTGTTTTCATGCTACAGTTGCGGGTTTGCTGCTTTGGCAATAGCACTGGTTCAAGCGGTCCCCAGCTCTACTCACTAACCAGTTTTAAGCATCTAGGAAAAGACTCCTTTTTATCTCCAATATTCATTCATTTATATTTACTATCCTCTAAAAATACATGCAATACCAAAAGAAACACTTAAGAATGAAAAGGCATGGCATCAATAAGATGACAACCCTAGGAGGGACAGGCTTAGTCTCCGGGCTGCGTGTAAGATAAGTAATGTAACATTCCTCACTCTTTGCAGTCTTGATTAAGCAAGTTAAGCTACTTTGTAAGTTCTTATGCTCCCCCAGTTTTGTTTAGCATTTTGACGTATCCAGGGAAAAGTAACATGCAAACATAACACTTGGCATCATTTTTACATACTATAATAGAATTCAGAACTGATGGCTGCAAAGAAAATCCCAATAAAACAAAAGCTATACATTAAAGATCTAAAGCAGAGCCTCTAATTGTCAAAGATTCAGAAAACATTAAATCAAAACAAATGGAGTTTGTTTTTAAAGGCTTTTAGACATTGCTAAACACCATGAAAGGCCTTAGGATTTTGAATGCTCACAATTTTTATATATATACACACACATACACACATATATATATACACGCACACATATATAAATACACTTAGCATTTATATACTGCTTTCTCCTCTATTACATCCCATTGCTTTTTACTATTTCACTATAGTGATTTCTAAAGAAGATTTTGCTGATAGATACACTGTGACAACCATATCATGGTAACCTACCTTTATAGCTTTCTCAATACTATTTTCATCAGCACTGTTTTGTAAACAACAGTCTCAGACAGAATATCTCAATGCTTACCATGTATTTATTGTAGAGAGGATGACCCGGTTTAGGCCTAGGAGGTAATGCTGGATCTTGATTTTTTAAGACTTGGCTCTTTGCTCTCTTGGGTCCCAGTCTGAACTTGCTGTTTTTTTTATCACAAGCGATGTCAGAAGTGGAACAGGAAAGAGGGTCCTTTTGGGAGAAGGTCTTGACTGCAGAGAGTTTTGGTGGAGGTGGCCTTCCAGGAACACCTTTAGGTGGGGGAGGTCGAGCCGGTATAATCTTTCCATCCACAGGCCTAAAAAATTGGGTGAACCATCAAAGAAATGTACACTTTAGTAAGTCTGCCACCTTATCCTCCACCACAGCCTTAGCCAAGGAGCATTCAACCTGGAAATCTGACTCATGATGACCTGGACTGTATGGCATCCATCCATGGCATGTAGTATCCAAAGCTCTCCAGGGATACAAGAACCTTTCAGATCCTGAGACTCAATGATCAAATCTTTAGACGGATTCTTTTACTACATATTTTCAAGCCTGCTCACCACTTCTGCTAATCAACAGCCTACTAGCTTTCTTGGGATCCCCATATGCACTCCATGTGTAAAATTTTGGCTTCATGTTCTTAAGAACCCTGGCAGTAAAACTTCCCAAAATACAATTTTGTTTGCGTGTTATTGGGAAATCTTTGGCCACTTACTGCCAGTTTCTGCTACAGTTTGTTCTCTCCTTCTCTCCTACATAGTGTAATTCAGCATAATTATTTATTAGCATGAAGTTCTCAAGGATCCGTAAAAATTGTCAAACCACAAAAGTATGATTATTAATGGGACTTTGGGGTGTCCTAACATGTCTGTGTCATCTACCGCTTGAAAGGAATATTACTAGTTTATTAATACACTCACCAGGAGTTCTCTGTTGCCATTTGAATTTTTTTTTTTTAAATTTCAAATTTACACTTACATTCACTTCCACCTCCGCCCTCTTCCTTGCCTCATCCTTTTTTAAATTTTGAAAGACGATGACTGTTCTAAATCTAGAAACAAACTAACTCATATATTTATGAGGAGATCAGCTAAACAAGAAAACCATATCAGGCAAGTCACTGAATTATTATTTCCCCCCCCCCCTTTTTTTTTCCTTAAATTGATTTGAGCAGAAAAGCAAAAGGACCAAATTTTTTATCTACTGCAATTCCAGAGAACGTCAGGAAAATCAGAAATGCTGCCAAACAGACAGGAAAAAAAAGTAACAAGCGTATGAGGGGAAACAATGAAGTGTTTCCACATCAGGTACAATCAAACTCTTTCCTGTGAACAAACACTTATTATTATTGTTAGACTCAGTTTCATAATTGAAATTAGATTCTCTCGTCCTGAGACAAGAGAACTACAAACTCTACAAACAGAGTAAACTCTGTTTAAACCCACAGATTTACTGTGTAGATTCCAGCAGAGCCTTATTGGGCTATCTCCCACCAGTTTGCCTATGGCATTTAGTGGACTTGAATCTAAGGCTGGTCCAGCTACTTTTGCCTCTGCAGACCTTCTTTCCTGTTGGTTCAAAAGAAAAGAAAAGAAAACAAAACAAAAAACCCACAAAGGTTGTCATTGCTTCTGCAATTTCACTGGGATTTTTAGGTCTGAAGTGAACAGCAGAGGCATTGTATAAACTAGCCACTGCTTCAGGGAAGGTGCTGGCCCAGTATTCGCCCTTTTCAGGGTGGTAGCATCTGCCACCTCCATTCCTTCACCACTCAAACCCAGCCACAAGCGCAAGGGCTGTTGATCAAAAGGTCAGCAGTATGCAGAAGGCGATGTTCCACATTCAGCTATGGGTGAATAGGTTAAAGATGCAGAAAGGAATGACTGTCAACAGCCACTGTACATTAGCTGAAAAGCCAAACAGCTGTCCTCCTATAATGTCCCTGCTCACACTGATATGGTATGAGTCAGCTAGCTACGTGGTCCTGCCTATTTATTAGCGAGTATACTAAAAGTAAAACCTACCCAAGCCTATTGAGTTAGAGATAGAGTTAGCAGTGTCTATAAAGAGACTAAATGAGCAAACTCGCATAGAAACACATCTTTAAGCGAATCTCTGCAAAATTCTGCTCACCTTGGGGGCAGCGCAGGTTCTAGGTGAGGTGTTCCAGCCTGTTCCAAATGATCTGACTCCTACAAGGATTAAAAAGAAAAAAAGTCATTTCATTAAAGCTAAAAACCAAAAAGGATCTTGTTTAAATGATGCATTTCTTATTTTAAATTATGTTCTACAAGGAACAAAATACATACAAGGAACATAATACATACAAGGAAAATGAGTTTCTGGAGCTCTGGGAACACACTAGGAAAAAAAAAATTCATTCTAGCATTTTAAAGTCTTGCTGGACATAGAAAGAGAAGTAAATAACCTGGCTGACTACCTGAATCACAGCTTAAATTGTGCATTAGATGTGAGCCAGCCCTCTTTTCCTACTACATTAAAATGGGGGCCTAAGAGCCAAATTCAGGCCAGATATAAAAATGTGCGATTTCATTCCCTGTAAGATGCCCATTTGGCTGCAAGTACATTATCAATTTTGATTTAACATTGACAGATGAAGCACTTACCTTTGATCTGGCTTAGAGCAGAAAATATGATGTTGATGCAGCTCATGCAGAAGAGAGTTTATTGCAAATAACGTTAGCTGTGATTCAAGAAGGCATCTAAATATGTTTTCTAGGGATCTAACAGATAAGACCTGGTGAATCGTGCTTTGACAGATTAAGAAGTTACTGTTCCCAGCTGCCCATCCCGACCCTGCCAGAGATTACTCTCCTGCAGCAGAGTCAGTGGAAGGGCAACATGTGCCATGTCTGAAGGGCTCGGACGGCAGTAATGGATTAATGAGTTACCATCCTTCTGCCTCCTGCCGTTCATTTTCATCCCAGTGCCAGAGAGTACTGCCAGCTCAGTTGAACCAACGCAGCTGTCTGTGGGACAGCTTAGTAAATCAGACTGCTGAACCTGGGTTCGAAAATAAGCTTTTTGAACCAATAATTTTAAAAGGTCTGAACAGTCTCATTTACTTAATTGGAGATACGTGTGCTTGAAACCGCTAAACAATTTCTCTGCTTTTTCCCCCACCTATACAATACCTGAATGGATGCTGCAGTAAAACGTTGACCCTTGATTAAGTCCCCAGATGAATGTTCTTGATTATTAAAAAGAAAATAAGCTGCCACTTTCAGATGGGGGTATTATCCTAATACCTACACTTTTCCTCTTCTGTGTGAAAAGGAACAATCCTGTGCCAATTGCTGCCTGTGTGAAACGGCATTTATTGTTGCTGGTTAATTACTTCCACAGACAAACAGTCCTAGTTTTGGAAATGCTGGTTTGTGTAATACTTTATTATGAATTCATTTTCAATATTCACCACTGAACAATGGAAGTATATTGAAACAATCATATTCACTTTTGAGTTTATATTTAGAGGGGGGAACTGAAAATATGTAGCAGGTTGTTTAAAGATTAGTGCATGAGGCCCCCCCATTAAAGGCTACTGATGGACTTAACAGTAAAAAGATAGGATTGCAAAGATAAGATTTAAATATTTTGCTGGGTCTGATGCAGTCTTTTTTAACAAGGAAAAATGAGAGCCTCTGAAGCTTACACAAGATCTTCCACATGCTTTTCACAACTACCTGGATGATCACACACTGTAAATGTTCCAGGCTTGTATTGTATAACATGTTATTTAGCGTCTTGTATCTGGAAATTATTTCTTCAGCATTATCAAGAAGAGACGGTACCTCTATAAACAGCCTCTTTAACCACAGTGCTTAAAAAAACATTCTATCCTCTTAGCAGAGGTAGTCACACAGACATTTGTTGGCAGCTGTCAACCTAGTTAGGGCTTTTGATTGGGTTCGATCTTGTTACTGCCTATGGTTTCCACAAGAATCTCTGCCATTCTTGCCATCACAGCTTTCTATACTTGGAAATTCATTTGGCAATGTCCTTTTCTAGTTTATTTTTTCTTTAGTAAATCTGTGTCAAAGGGCTTGCAGGATGCAGAACTATGATGTCTACCACTAGTATTTGCTCAGGAGCGAGGAGCAGAGCCCTTTTTGCAACAGATGGCTGTGCTCAGGCTCTGACCAAATCAACAGAAAACAACTGGGAGGGAAGAGCTCAAGAAAGCTGGCTTCACTCCCCTTTCTATCTACAGAAGTATTTTCTTTTGACTTGAGATGAGCACAGACACAGAAAGGTGCCTTCTGTGTGAAGGTTAAAAAAAAAAAAAAAGGCATCTAAAGGACTTTGACAGTTCTTGACTATATAAATCTTAGGCTTTGAACTGCTTTGCAGTGTTTTGGAAAGTAAACTGTAGAACGCCATGCAATGCAAAGTGGTTTTAGTAAACTGCAGAACGCCAGCTGCAAAGTACAGAAAACTGAAAATAGATGTGATCAAAGTTTAGTAAAATCAACAAAGTGTTTTGCAGAACTAAGAGCAGTCTAAATTATCTAATTAAATTAGAGGATGCAATTAAAAGAAGAAAGCCTTATATCTTTGAGTATTCCCTTTCATCCTTTGGTCCTTCAAGTAACGTACTTCACAAAGGAGTGAGAGTCACAGGAGATCTGTTAACCAAGGCAGACAAAGTTTTAACACAGGAAAAGAGTTCTAACTTACCACTTTTTTCACTTGATCACCATGGCTGGGTTTTCCCCCTGTGATATCAGAGGTGTTCCCAATAGGCTTTGCAGCAGGAAGTGGTGGAGGGCTATGTGGGATTTCATTCAAGGCTGTAAAAAAAGTTCCCAAATGAAAGCTTAATTAATAGTTTCTTTACAGGGACCAACAACAGATGAGAGAAAACCCACCTTGTTTTTGTGCGTCTATCACATTTTTGTGAACACAGTTGCGTCAAACCCTGAGCAGCCAATGGGCAGGATCACTAGTGGAAAAAAAAAGGATGCAAAAGGAACACCCTAACCCTGAGGCTGGCCATAGGAGTACTTCCCCTTCTGCGTAACGTATCTTCACTGAAAGAACTTGCTGATGTCCTGAGAGATAAGGATTTCAGCTGCGATACTTGTTGCTATAATAGTGCAGGGGTAGCAGAGTTTCTACCCCTGGGAATGTCAGGCTCATCACTGGATACCCTGAAACACCATCATTATCTCTCAGCCACATTTCTAAACTGGCTCACTTTTTTCAGCTGTCAGCTCCTGGAATATCCTTCAGGCTGGAAAACAGCTGAGGGTTATTTCAAGTAACCCTGAAAGATCAGGAGACTTGGATGGAAGGACCACCAGAAAGGTAAAAGCAGAAACAGAAACTGTTGCCTGCTAGAAAATTCAGGGTGAGAATAAGAAAAGAGGGACAGGAGTACCCTGATAGTCCTTAAGGACCTAAGTAAATTTAGGACATCAAAGAGGAAACGGTACTGCTTTTACTACAGAAGAGAGATGACCTCCTCAGTCTCAAAAAAAAGCACAGAAACCTGTTAATTATTATATGAGATTTGCTTTAAATGTCTCCGCTATTGAAACCTGTGAAGCACATGGACAAGTTTTGACAGCATAGTTACCAATCAATTTCTCTTTATATTTTGCAATTTTGTCATCTATTTTACAGTGTATTTGTCTATCAAAATAATTTGTTTCAAACAACAAAATTCAGACACTTAAGGTCCTTCTGGCCTTGGAACTATGGAAAAACATGTACACACAGCCTCTACATTTCTGAACTAATGATAAATATAGGGAGAAATTCCATCCAAATGAAAACTTTCAGTTGTTCATTTCATGAAAAGTACTTGTGAAGGTGAAGTACTGCTTGTTTTTAACACCTCAGTTGCATTGCCATGATCTAAAAGGCTGGTGAGATGTTTATAAATGGACTGATTCAAAGGTAAGTTTCTCTCTCAGTCTTGAGGGCAAGTGTTGGCAATGACTCAGCACAGGAAGAAAAAGAAATTAAAGTTTTTCTACTCTTTTCAACTATTGTGATGGGAACTAAAAACAATGCCTACCAGTAACTGCAAGAGAAATCTCCTGTTATCATGCCTTACTGATATATGACGAGCACTAGAGGTTTATTTATACATACCACTTCAAATCTTAAAATATATACAAATGGCCTAACTTCCTGACCTTTACTCTTTATAAAAACAAAATGAAAGGCATTAAAAGAAAGAAGCCCAAATAACTAGAAAGCAGGCGTTATTTTCAGTGATTTCTAAGTGTAAAAACTGAAGTGGAAGTTTAATGCTGCCCTTGTAATCACAGCTCGGTAAAAATGCTGACAGGGAACCACTAAAGCACTAGCTCGAATTCCCAAACATCCAGGTGTGCCCCCTTTTTGACAGGGCTAGCTTTTTTGGTTTATTGGAGGTTTTCTTTTTGGTTTGCACCGGTCCTTACAGAACTAATCTCCCTCCAGACCCAGGAAGGCAAAAGACCTCTTGTACTGAGACTGTGTGTCTAAGGCCTTCCTACGAGGGAAATCCTATTAAATCCATGTGCGGAGGTTATTCCTTTGCCCACCTGTAGCTGTCTCATTTTTTTTTTTTTTAAACTCATAACAGCTTACATTGCTACAGCAGCTTTTATCTGACAAAAGGCTACTCTGCTTACTTTTAACCTGCTCCCATTCCTCCACATCCCATTAATCTTCCAGCCGCAGCCTCCTACAATGCAGTCATTCACATCCCTCTGACAACTGTAGTTAAGTCCAGTATGACTGGTAGTCCCTTGTGGGAAGTTCAACTGCCGCTAGAGAGCAGCAAGGGACCAGTTTATCTACAAGTTCAAAAGAGAATCCAGTTAAGGGAAATAAAAAAATTGTCAGTTTTTTTTTTTAATCGAAATTACAAGAAAAGATTTCCTTTGTGCAGAATAATTGTGTCTCAAGTTCTTTATAGAGGTTCATAAACATATTTTTCCAACTGAAAAAGCTTTTTATTTATGCTCAGTTATTAACAGAAAGACTTTTCCTAACAGACTTATCTTGGCTATCCTCTGCATTTTGAATCATTTCCACTGCATTTCTCTCACACACAAAGGAATAGAAAACCTAGAATTTGAGCAGGGAAGGAAGAGGAAAATCTTCTGGAAACAAGGAAAGAAAGTCTTAGGAACAGTACCACCAGGACATCTTGTTGCTACAAATTTGGCTCTATACCTAACTCAGATTAGCGAAATGTGAGTTTCAAAAATGAGTTCTAAGAGCTATCCTGTGACCTTTCTTCCTAAGCTTCAAGGATAAAACATAAGGCTAAATGTAAGCAATTATTTACTGAAGCATACAAACATCTCTCATGCTTCTCTGATAAATTTCCAGTCTGTGAGATATTGTCAGCGTTATTTCTAAAGCTGTAAAGCACTGGAGGTGGAAGGCATTACAGATAACTATGAGAAAACTATAGTCAAGACCTTCACACTAAAATGAACACATAAGGTTTTTGCACCCAAGTTCTTGCATGCCTTTTTCACTCACTCAGTTACTACCAAGTATTCAAGTTCTGGCATGCCCTTTTTTTTACTCCTTCAGTTACTACCAAAACACTATTGCTTAAATAGCCAGAGATTTCAGATCCAAGATTTCCCTTGACCCTTGTTAATGTAAGCTGGAAAATTATGTTTACATCCTGATTAAACTGTGTTTGAAGCAAAGTTTAATACGCTGATGTTGGTCCTCTGACAACTCCCAGGAAGCATGGGAATAGCATTAAAAGATCCTCAGCTGCTATCAGAACACGAGTCAGCCTGCCTGAAGGTCCGGCTCAACAACACAGTGCAGCTGACTGAACAAGCTCGCTTCTGCTGAAAGGGGCTCCCCCACTCTTTGCTGCTGGCCCTTAGATCTCCCCCACCACATCCCCTCTGACGCACAGGAACTCCACAAGATTTAAGGAGTGTCAGAGAGGGTAGCTGGGAGGCAGGGAGAGGAACCCGACTCCCTTCTCCCCCTCCAGCCCTTAGACTGCCTCAACTGTCTTGTCAAACTGTGCCAGGGGACGCCTTTGACAGCTACTATAGATAGTTATCAGCGATTCAATTTGTAAATAGCAAATTCCAGTTAAAAGGATTTCCTAATACAAATTTCTCAGATGATTCAGAGGAAGAACTTACATTTCCCGGGTTTAGCTGGGATTCGGATAACAGTGGGTTTCCGGGCTAAAGCTGGTTGAACTGCCTGTTCCTTTGCAGGCTCACTTTTGGAGAGGAATTGAAATGGATCTAAATGGGGGGAAAAAATCCAATAAATTTAATATTTCTTTGTTGAACACAAATCTCAGCAGGTATTGCATTCATTACTAAGGACATTTATATCTCATGCCCAAGGGAGCAATCAACAAAAAATCTCAGTTTCCAGGGACAATAAACAACAGGCTGATGAAGAGAGAGTACTCAGTGCTCTCTTTTCTGTGCATCTGCATTCAAAGTTGAGTTAACATAAACATATCCCAGATGCCTTCTGGGAAGATGTAAGTCACTGAGCAAGAGCAACTGCATTTCTTGATGACAGGGAGCTGAAATCAGGATGGCTGTAGGGTTTGCTCTAATATGCAGGCATAACTGAACACATTGGCAAAAAAGTTTTAATCAATAAAATCTTTCCAAAGCACCACAGCAGATAAAATGCCTACAGAAAGAAAACAAAACATAGCATTTTACTATTAGACTAATTACAAAATATTTTTGCTGTAGAGTAACTAATTCACCTTGAAGAGTCTGTGTAATTTTGCCAATTACAAACTTCACGTCAGGGGGAAGACTGGGGGACCAGTCCTGCTTGAGCTCTGCCCCTGTGGATATCACTCATTCCTGTACAAGCCTGTCCAATCACTCCATCATTTTTCATCGGTAAGACAGGAACAATGTTTTCTATGCTTAATGAATTTAAGCACTGGTCTCTTATTAATAGGCACAGGAACATATGTGCACGTAGAAGGCAGCTGTAAAAATACATGTGCATAAATAAAATCCAAATCAACGAGTTCTTTCTTAAGTAGACCTTCAGGTCAAGGAGTAATACTTCACTTATTCCTGTTCTATGTTATTAACAAACGTCACCTTTTTCTCCAAACGCTACCTTTTTCTCTAGCATTACCAAAAAGCGCAGTAAAATGACAACACTTAACTGCATCATAAATGTATAACACAGAAACTGGAGAAGCCCTCTGGCCAATAAGTTCTCCATGACACACATTCATAGTCCCGACAACTGAGTTTGCTCTCCTCTGGTGGCCTTTTCAGATGCGTAGCTCAATAAGATGTTATTTATGGAGTGTCAGAATCACTCAGAGAACGCTAGGCATCTCTTTACGTTCTTCAGGGCTTTTAATAAAACACGCCCCTTCCCAAAACTGCTACCACACTTTCTGAACAAAGTTGGAAGCCCTGTATCTGGTAAAATTCTATCTCTATGTTCAACATTTAGAAATAACTTTAAAAAAAAAACACACACACACATACACAAACAGTATGAAGTCATGATTTCTTATAGATAATTTTGGGTACTGCAATATAAAGTAGTTTATGAATACATTTGAAATCTGTGTCTGGAAATGTAAGTTAGGTTTCAGAATCCAGAAATGCAGTATTTACTTATGAGCAGTCTCATTAACAGCCATTAAGAGTTTTTAAGTAAAAAAAGCTTTGCGATTCGTTTAGAGAGGGGGGTGAAGAACTAGTGTACTGAAGCGCTACACTGCTACCAAAAATAGGCCCAATTAAACTTCAGACAGAGAAAACACTGTGTAGTGAACAGCTTCTGAATTAATAGATTGCTCTCCAGCATGTGGATGACTTGCGCTCCCAGATCCCCCAGCAGCTCTTCCTTCCTTCTGCACCGTGGCTGGAGGCACCCCTACCCCGGCTCCCTGTGGCCAGCAGCTCCCCCAGCTACTGTGGCAGACCCAGCGGCAGAGACAACACGTGGCAAAGCCTGGGCACACTTGTCCCTGCTCTGCCGTGAGTCTCCCACTAGTTCCCGGCTTAAGGCTCTGTTCGTTATGCATATTAACTACCTGCAGCCATGGGGACTGTGTCTAGGTCCCTCTCAAAGCCAGGGCGTCCAGCCACCAACCATCTTCCCAGATCTGCCTGGGTACCTTCATGTCACATGTTAATCGTGAATCAAAGTGTATCGATTTTTGCCTACCTGCTAACTATAAAAGCTTTGAGCATATACCTCAGGTGGCAAGCATCATGACAGGTCAACGATTTGTCTACAACTAAAGGCATATAAGACTGTAGCTAAAAGTAAGCTCTGCTCATCGTCTAACCAGAAGGTGGCTCCGCCATGTTGTGTCCAAAGACACTGGCGCACCTAGAAATTAGGCAAAGGCAGTACCTTTTAGACAGAAAGAGTAAAAGTTAACATCTCGTTTAAGTTACGGATTACCACTAGTCGGTAAAGGTAACACGGGTGCCTCTTCAGTGAAAGCTGTATCACAACACAGGTGTTGCTAGCAGGCTCAGAGAGACAGACCATAACAGGGTTGTAAGCACTCTGCCAGGATGGTAGTTAGTTACAGGAAACAGAAAAAATATGCTCTTTGAGCAAGCCTACAGATCTTTTTTTTGTTGTTTTGTTTTGTTTTGTTTCTTTATAGCTACATCTCTTAACCTACCAGCTCTTTAGCTATTGCTAAAGTTTGGATCGCCTTATAAAAAGGATACATCTAATCTTAACGCTAGTGTTCAGAATGATTTTAGCACAACTGAAGAAAATCCAAGTTTTCTACTCCTGCAGTCCTAAAAATCAGTTATCTGGCAACCCTCTAGCCAATTCGAGGAGCGATCCAGATGAGGTAGCAGGGCTGCAGGCCTCAAAGCTGTGCAGGCCCATCAAGAAGCTTGAAGTGAAGGGTAAGCACGGGAAAGATGACTAGGGCTACTCTGTAGCTGCTTGACACAGCAGGAGAGGAGGGGAAATGCCTGCACATAAAGCACCTCGAGTTAGCGTTCTGCACAGAGGTGGAGAAAGTCCTGCATGAATGATAAGGAAATAATTTTCAAAAGCCTCTATCTTATAAAGACATATCCATAGTGAGACCAAATGGGACTACTTTAAACTACCAAAATAATCTAGGCCTATATTATTGTAAATGGAGAGATTTACAATTGTACAAAATTACTAGTTGTCAGCTGTTAATCATTTCTGAGGTTTTCTCAATCATTCAACAGTTGACTGAGGTCTCCATATCAATAATTCTGAGAGAAGTCATTTTTAAATCTCAGTTTTTGACATTCTCCACCTGAGGCTCAGAGATCATTCTGCGAACCTCAGTTTTTTCATTCATTATCTTACGTTCAATTACACTGTTGTCACCTCATAATTAGTTCCAACCTCATTACTTTGTTTGTGTCATTCTATTCCCCCGTGTTGAGTCTGCAGCAGAAATTGGCTGAGTAAATGACTCTGCTGCTTTGTGCAATGGGACTGACAGCATTTGAATTTTTTATGTTGTTTAACAACAGTTGGGCATGGTTTGAGCATAATTCATGGAAGTGTGAAAACAGAATTGTTAATATACTCATTTAAAGCATCTCAGTTTAAGGAAATTAACTTGCCAGGCATTCTCCATAATACATATCAAAAGGATTGTATCAATTTTTTTTTAATAAACTTTTAAAATGATATTTACAGCCTGCATTTTCCTTAGTCTCACTTTTCTACAGCTTCTGTTTCAAAAGTTCATTTGATAATATTTTACTGTGCTTTCTCCTGGGTAAGGCAAATGAAAGCTAGGTATCCCAACACACTGCATATCAGCTCTTGCTTTTACCAGTTTAGGAGAGACAGCTTTGCTACCCGCTCCTGTTTATCATCCTTGTTCCAAACCAGAAATGAGCAGTCTACAGAACAAACATTGGCTTTTACCCACGTGAACAGGATGGATGGATAGCTTTCCGAAGCAATTCTTGGCAATCTCAAAGTAGAAGGTAGTAAGACAGTAACAGATACCTCAGCAGTAACAAGGGGAATCTCCAAACAAATCAGATGTGGAAAGTTGGAAACACAGAGTAGTACTACCTGCTCAGAAGCCTATTTTGAAGAAGTTCAGTCCTGTAAAAAGCACTCTCAGGACTTACAAGACTTACACCTGTAATATGACAGGTGTTGATGCTGGCATTACAGTGCTTGCCACTACAGAAGTAGGCAACAGCACCTACTTTAAATGTTTAATTAAAATAAACAAATACACACCCTAAATCAGCTACTGAAGGCAAGGTTCACACGTTCCCTTCACACAGACCACAACTGCCACCTGGCTCTTCCAGGAAAAGAGAACAGAGCTAATCCTCATTAACACAGCTTTACTAAAGCCTGCCTCAGTGAAAGCAGGCTCACCTTTGGGGAAGCACGCTTTACCCACGCTTGGAGGAATATTTTCCAACATGCCCGCTCCCAGAAATACAGCCAGAGACTCGACAGAAATGTGCCAGACAGCATCCTAAACAGGAACGAGTTCAATGCTGAACAACTGCTATGACATACTACATTACAACTGAAAGTGTGACCATGCAGATATTACAAATTCAACCTATCTACAAGTATGAAGAGACATACTAGTACAGGTGCTATAGCTAAATTGAGTGATTTTCCCTATCTCAGTTTTTCCCCAGTATTTTCCATCAGAAACATTTCCAGTTCACTGTTGTTAAAAATGGTAGACATTTCTGACACAGAAAGGATAACAGGGACTACACAGCCTTTCTCAAAATAGGTAATTTCTTCCTGCATGAAAAATGCCATGGTCAGGTTATGACCATGTTTTTCAATACACTAGGAAATTAAAAAAAAAAAAAAAAAAAGGATGCAGGTGCTTCAGGATGTAGTCTGTGTGTAACCTGAAAGTAAACTAAGGTGAAACTTGGGCTTCTCAGCATTATCCTAACAGTAGGAGAGGAGACCAGGTCACTCAATAGGAGGGAATACTGTATTCAGAAAGAGAGCTGGTATGGCTTTGGAAATTATTTCAGACTTAAAATTGGAGGAAGGGCAAGCAAATCTGACCTCAGAATGTTCTAGGATTTCCTCCTGCCCTGTCCACGCAGAGATTTTTCATTATGAGCCCAGTTATTTGGGCAGAGGCCAGGAACTGACTGTGTGGCTCTGCTTCAATCAAAGATACAAGGTTCAGGAGGCCAAGGAGATTTGCTTTACCTGATATGGCACAATGAGTCAGACAGGTATTTGCATGGGCTACTAAAAACTTCTTGTAAGT